ACACTAAGGAACGCTAAAAACACTTTCACCACAGGCTGGAGAAAAATTATCTGGCACTGGTGACTGGGAGCAAGCAGTATAAATGGAGACAGGAGCAGGTGGATCAGATGAGCAGTAATGAGAAATCGTTCTGAGTAGACAGGTGAATGAAATTAATAATTAAACCAGTCATCAGCGCCACAAACATGACAGGATAAGTGCATGGGAAATCCTTCTTCACTATGTTTTGTTGTTGTTGTTTTGACCATAGGGGGAAAAAGAGCTCCAAACATCATGCTTGTTTCTCTTCCTCTAACTAAGGAGAGGTGGGTAGGAGTTGGGACAGGGTGCAGCTGTCTCCAAAATGTATTAAGAAACAGTAGAAACGTCTGAAACAGAAAACCAAATAACATTCAAACAGCAGTGTAGATGAGGGCCAAAATATATAGAAACATGTTTTAATTTCATTTTAAATAACTTACTGATGTTAAAAAGGTCTTCAATTTATCTGCATTCAGACGTCAACTATGACAGCCCCAATTGCAAAGTTTTTTCAACATTTCTGTTGGTCAGCAGAGGCTGGAGAGAGGTTCATTTTCTAATTGAGCAAGTATTTCTGCATTGCTTATGTCCTTAAATATGTAGCTATTATGATTATTATCATTGTGATATTTAAAAGAAAAACTATTCTTGCCTCAATCAGTAGCTACTTGGTTTCCCCACAGTGTGTGAGGCATGTGGGGGGAAAACTGACGCCAGGTAAAATAATAGGGTTAATAATATGGCCTAAGTGGCATAAGTTGTTCAGGCCAGGCCAAATACTGAAAAAAGTATATTTTACAGAAGGAGACCATAATGAGCTTATTGAAATCTTAAGAAAAAGTTATCACTTCTATATGTTTGTAAAGATATTTCGTTCTATATCTGTTTTTCATGTTTTTATTTACATGTTAACAACATAAGGCCTGAAGTTAAAAAATAAAAGTGGATTTATGACACTTTAAAATCGTCTCTTACAGGTTTAATTATTTTCGGACTAATTTCTGTACAGAAACTATTGATCGATGGACAGATCCATGACAAATATTACCCATGTTTCTGTTGCATAGTATGGCATTAAGTGTTACTGTGCCTGGCCTTCCAGTCCAACAAAAGTTCACATCATTTAAAAAAGAAAAAAGATGATTAAAATAATTCATAATTACATCTTTTTTCTGTTTGCACTGAATCTTACTCTGGTTCACTGGAGTGCCGGAGCCTTCTGGTTTTATAATATGTTATTGACTTTTATTTTTCTTATCGACTCTTAAATTTCTTTAGATCAGACCATGTGATGTGTTCCTTTAGTGTTCTTCAACTTACTACTGCACTGGAAAAGACAGTATGCAGAAGAAGTAGTAAAATATGGGATACCTCTACTCATGTTTTCGAACAGGCAAAATAAAATATTTGACTTCTTCTAAAGTAGCATGGCAATATTAATTTTGAACCCATGAAGTGCTTCAAATTGCCCCTGAAGATAAGCTTTCAGGAATTGGTTGTATAACTCAGAGACGTTTAGGAGGCACCATGCAAAGGCATGGGTGTAAAATATAAAGTTGAAATCAGAGTTCAGCTTTTTTGTGTTTTTCTTTACCCTTTTTCCCTTTTCAGCTTTACTTCTAACATTTCCACTAAATGTCAACATCAGCTGTAAAATGTTCACTTAACATCTGGTGAAACAGGTTTTTTTTTTTTTTTAAAAAAGGAAAATTCTTAAATGTTGTAAGGTGCTGGTGAGTACGCCAAAAACTTATGGGCAAAAGGTGCCTTTGCAAATTGCCTTCAATTAAACAACTAATTTAAATGTAATTTTGCTCTAAACACTTAAGCTTATAGGAGTCGAGTCAGAGGCAGATGTCTCAGCAAATGAATCACAGACACATTTTCTGGCGTTGGATCGGAGAACTCAGTTATACATTTTAAACATGAAACCTGTTTTTAAATGTTGTTTTTTGTGTTTTAATGTTTTTGTTATATTTTACCCAAATAATCTTAAAACTACACAAATCTGCATTCTGTTTCCAATTCATTCAGATTCAAGAACAAAATAACAAAAATTAAACAAGGTGAAAACTGTAGTTTGAGTTCTGATGGGCTAGAGGTTTTTTTTTTATTTAGAAGACTAAAAAATTTATTTATTTCTAAAATATATATTATTGCCAATCATCAAATGTGAATAAATTAAGAAAAATTCAATTTAATTTGTTCCAATTGAAAGAAGATTAAGGATTTATTTATACCAAGGGGGTATCATGGTTCAAATAGAGGAAATGACCACTATTTGGCAACAAGTAAAAGATTTGAGTTACGTTTAGATAGCTGCGGGACGTCGGAAAAAAGTAAAAACCTCTATAATTGATTTGTTTTTTAGGAGTTCTAAAGCACATAGTGCCAACACCATTAACAGCAAAACTTTACAATTTCCAGCACAGTTAAAAAAATATATAATTCCTCTCTATTAGAAAATGAAGTAAAAAACAAAAGTTTTGTCCTTGAGATGGTCTGACTGTGTTTAACTTCACAATCCCCACACAATTCTGGACTTTTTAGCTTGAAAAACATATTCATGCTGTGTCGTTCTTGTTCCTTTCATATCACTTCAACTTATGTTGGTGGAAAAATGAAATTGTTAGATTAATTTAAAGACGTTGAACTTAACTCAAAGCTTTTGTGATGACTGTTCATGCAGGTAAAAGCATATTTATAGGTTCTAACATATAACATGTTAGAACCTATAAATCAACAGTAACTGAAAGCAACAATAAAATCAGGATCATTTATATGAATTATTCAGCTAATTGATAAGGAAAATTTACAAAAAAAATTACTGTTACTGTTAAAGAAAGGCTCATAACCAACCTGAACAACAGTAAAAATAGCAAAGATAATATATTAAAAAATATAAATCCAGTATGGACAAACTAGTTTAAATTGTAGAGTAGGATCATTATTTGCATTAATATCATCCACTATCAAGACTCATCGACTAAATTGCAGAGTTTTTTTTTTCTTATTTGCGTGAAAATACAATTAGATTAAAAACATATTTCTCTAGGTAATAATTCACTGTTATCATAAAGCCTAGTCTTTTATTTGTAAATTTTCAAACATTTCTTTGCACCATCGAGCTAACTGACAAAAGGGGTCACTGTTGAGGCAAGTAAAAAAAAATAAGAAAAGGCAGCTGAAACTTTCCTGAATGACAGCTTTCAGCCTGACAATTTCATTGATGTGAAATGAGACAGACATGACAGCAAAAGGACTTATTTACTGAATGACTGCAGCAGGCGTATGAATCGCTGACTGATCATTTGATTCTCTTAAATATAAAGGATTTAATCGCTTATCCTTTGCGCCACTTACTATCCTGGATTGAAGAACTTTTGTATCAGAAAATAAATATTTTGATATAAAAAAAGAGGTTATAGATGATAAAACACGGGAATTTTTATTTAAGAAATAGATGACTGCCTGTTCAAAACAGAGACAACCCTAAAAATAAGAGTCATAAAACCTCCTTGTGTTACTAAAGGGTATTAAAACCAAACTTCTATCATTAAGGACTCGTGATTGATATCTTTGGCCAACTCTATGAAATAAATCCAGTTATTTTTGGTCTCATCCTCTGCCAATAATAATTCCTCAAAAATTAAACATATTGACCTTTAAACGGCTGTAAATACAACATTAGAGGGTGTTGGAAGAAAAATTTCCGCTTTAAAACAGACTTTGCACTTTATGAAGCAAATACTATTGCAAAACAGAGACTATTCTTCATGCATTTCTGAAAAACCTCAAGGAGTCAGCCTGCTGCATCACATTCTCACCTCTTAAAGCTGTATGTCCATATTAAAATATATGGTTCTAATATCATCTTTATTAGATTTTTGTTTTATTCTCCTAAATTTAAGCTTTTTTTCCACAACATTTTAAGGAAAAATTAATAAAATTATTTGTGTTTGTTTAGAAATAACCAAAATAGAAGCAACAAATCAAAATTGTATTTTCCTTAGGCTTTAATCTACAGGAAATAACAGTAAAAAAGAAAATGATAGTGCTTTTTATGTTTATTTTATCCTATTTATTTTTATCCTATGAAATAATTTGGAAATGGATAAAACATTTTTTATTTTTTGCATTTTGCATTTTTGACAAGGGCAACACTTTTTGCAGCTTATGCAGCTGTTTAGATCATATTTGATATAACTGGGGCAAACTGAATAAACTTTCCTTAGATGAGGGGAAAATATTATAACTTTTATTCTCACACAGTATTTGGGGTCATGTCAACAATAGCAGATCTTTTCAATAGCATGCTTTAAAAAAACAAAAACAAAAAAAACACCTCCATATGGAGCAAGAAACAAACACTTTCATTCAACAAAAGCTATTAAATAGAATTTACAGGGGAGTGAAATCTTCCACCGAAGACAATGAATCAAAACACAAGTCGTAAAACTTGTCTTTTCTGTAATGTGATATAAACAGTGAATAATCCAAACTTGTTCGATCTTCCCAAAATGAACTCGTTAAACTTTATACACACACCGAGCAAAGACCAGCAAAGTTAAGAACTACAGTCAGGGAATAAGAAATCAACCTGAAATGTTCGAATATCCTTCCAAAAATGCACCTTAATATGCACTTTGAACTAATGACTGACTGTATTGCACTATGTTATAGAATTTCTACTGCTTGAATTGACTAGAAGGTGTGTTGAGCCTCAAAGAGTGCTGGTCAGTTCACTCCCTTACCATTTTTGTCATTTCGAACCTACAACCGACAGCTGATGATTTCAATTAACTGCTCATTTTCTACTTAAGGTCATTTATAACCTAATTTATGATTTATTAAGAGGAAATTAGATAAAAAGGTTAGTTTTCATAAGAGCTTATTGATCTTTAAAGATCAGTAGATAATCTATTTTCCAAAAATAATACTGTAAGTCAAGTATGTGCATTGTTATAATAGAGTATCTCTGCAATTTCTAATAAAGAAAAAAAATAAATGTCAAGGAACTTTTAAGCAGATGATCAGCTCTACAGTATGTAGGTACGAAATGGCAAAGCCTGGGTACGAAATTGGGCAAAGTGATCAGTGTTACAACATACTCCTGGTGTCCTCTCTCTTGACATGATCAAGTGTCTTCTCGTGGCACTTGCTCCTCTTATTCTGATGCGTTTTGACGTGTTTGGCAAGGTGGTCGCTCCTCATGAACCTCTTGCAGCAGTCCGGACACACAAAGCGCTTTTCTCCCGTGTGAGTCCTCAGGTGTCTCTGCAGCTCGTCCGACCTGGTGAAGCTCTTGCCGCAGAACAGCCAGTTGCACACGAACGGCCGCTCCCCGGAGTGCCACCTCAGGTGCGCCTTAAGGTGAGACGTTTTTCCGTACACCTTCCCGCAGCCCGGTATGTGACAGATGTGCTGCTTCTTCTTGCCGGGCTCGTCGCTGGAGGTGGAGGACTGACAGTTAGGACACCTGCACCGCCTGCACCTCCGCGCCGTGGCGAGGGGGGATTTGGTGTGCAGCAAGGCGGCGATTTGCGTCTGGTATTGCGCAAAGTCCGTGTGCCCGAGCACCAAACCTCTCTGCAGCTGGAAGCGGTGGGGACCAAGAGAGGAAGAGTGGCTGACGTGGTTGCCTTGTTGCAGGCTCCACCACGGGATGTCCTCCCCGGGGTTTGGAGATAACTGTCTCTGCGGCTGGTGAACCAGGCCGGACGGTCCCGTCACGAAACCCGGCATCTGGGGCGGGATGGGCGCCGGAGCTGCGTAGCTGACGGCAGGGACGTATGTGGGGGGGCAGGTGGACTGAAGGGACTGCATGGAGCAAGGTAACATCTTAACTGGGGAGAAGTCATAGGGGTAAGAGGGATCCGCCGGAGGGGTGAGGGGCAGTTCGTGATGGGAGCTAAAGGAGCTCTGGATGTGCGCAGAGAGCTGAGGCTTGGAGGATAGTCCGAAAGTTGAGCTGCTCTGGGGGCTCCCTTCGTTAGTCCACGGGTGAAATAAACGCGAAGGCGAGCCCAGAGTGGGATCGTAAGGAACTTGGAGGAAATCAGCGTGGTTGGATCCGTGGTGGTGTCCTATCCGGTTACAGGTTGCGGCCAGGAGCGCCAACGGAGAGTGCTTACAGTTCTCTGGAGAGGAGTTTGGAGTGCGATCCTGGACGACAGAAACACAACCAAAACAAAGTTCATACATAAAACTGCCCATAAACAACCCGACAGTCAACCTTCACAAATATAGAACTTTAATAGGAAATAATGAGATGAAAATGAAACAAAAAAACAGGAATAATTCAGATTTGCACGCGCATCCTGGACGCGTAAAACAAAAAACATCATTCAACACGTTCTGCTTAATACAACAGTTTTACCTTCAACTTCTACCTTAAAACCGACCATGATCTTAATTTCTTTTTTATAGGAAAGGTGGAAACGTGAAGGAAACCGCTCACTTTTACATTTTTCAACTTCTTTTGAAAAAAATAAAATAAGAGTAATAATGTAAAACGTCTCCCTCAAAGTGAACAGAAAAGTTGCGCACAAACCTGGAGGAAAGCTTGCAGTGTTTCATTCCGCAGAACAGCCACCGCTGCCATGGTGCGCGTCCTCCTCCACCCGATGCAAACTAATAAGAAATAAACGCGCTAATTTTGACCAAATGTGGCAAAAAAAGAAAAAAAAAGAAAGAAAAATTGGTTCTTGTCGGGGCAGGTCTTCACTCTCCTGTACCTCCTCTCTCCGATATATCCTCAGTCTATCTGAAGAGTGAGGGATCACTTCTTAGAATTTGATAAGGACTTTGGTGGGCCGCCAGCCAGTCAGAAATAAGATTTATTACTTTGAAGTTTGCCGCTGCCCAATCATCAAAGAATGGCGGCTCTTTGAGAGGGGAAAGCAAATCCTTTGAATCCACAAAGCTCCTATGGTGTGTTTGTTGGTCTGGATAAAGGAGCTGATTATTAGGGGGGCTGGGAAGGGAGGAGATAAAGGCGGGACAATTAATGAAGTAATCACTATGTGGGAAATGTATATACACAAATAATTGGATTTTCTTGATCAAAGACCTCCATGCCGCCTGGAGACCCTGGTATTGGATGCTGTAGTCATCTGATCCTCTTTTTGTAATTAAGGATTTGTAGCAGAACCTTATGTGACAATGTGACATTGTTATCTCTGGAGATCTCCAAGAGCGTTTTTTTTTTTGGCTGCCTTGTTTGATGGAGGGAAAGAGACCAAAATCAAGTGACTCAACATGAAGTTCTCATCTCTGAAGAATCTGCGTCTCTTTTACATTCCTCATTTTAATTCAGATTTCTTTTTGTTGTGGCTTTGAACCACAGCTTGGCATTAAACACTTAATTATATCCTCTCTGAAGTATTATTTTTTTCAATCATCTATTTATCAGACGCTAATTCGAATTTAGATATTTTCCCCCCTCCATCCTAATTAAACAATGAAATTTGGACTAACTACAGAAGCCCACATCACTGAGTCAGGTTCACATCCCCTTACACAGCCAGAACTGATAGGGACCCATATTAGCAGCCTTACCATGTGTATTTGAGCCCTGAATGATTTTTATTTTAATGTTTTGGCTAGATAGGTAGTTAGTTTGATAACATTTGTTCTCAGATAATCTGTATGCCCAAATCATTTGGTAAGCCTGTATGGGTCTTAAATAGATAATAAGTGAAACAGTTAAAATAGCCTAGATCAAGTCCATATTTTTGTGAAGCTGTCCTATTATACATATACAAAAAGGTGGAACAATGTTCCCACAGATGTCCTCATCTGAGGTCCCTTATTGAACCCATTTCCTTCCTGCAGGGCCCATTCTGAGATACTTAATTTCTCTGGATTGTTTTAAGGTATGAACTATTTTTTGTCTGTAATGTATATAAATTTGAACAAAGTTAGCCCATAGAAGGGTCCTCACCAGTTTTACCAGCAGTCTTAGTCTGTCAACACAATGGGTCCAGTACCTGAGAACCATTGTGATTAACGCCCACTTAAGTATTAGCAAAATCCAAATGGGGGCCATGGCATGAAGGCAAAAAAGTTGAAAATAAATAACTTTTTCACTAACATATAACAAAGAAAGTCAATGAAATGCATGTACAGAAAAAAGTAAATTAAGGACCAGCTCAAAAAAATAAATAAATAAATAAATCAACGGGGGAAAAATAAATATAGGAAATATTAGTATAGAGTTTGTTGTTCCTATGTATTTCTGTTTCATTTTTAATATTAAGAATCAGGGATGTTGTTAGGATCTTAACATATTGTAGGATGGAAGCTTGTTTTTATATTTATCAAATGTTTTATCAAAAGTTCACTAAAATAAAAGTTTTTAATATTTAACCAGCAATGCAATTGGAACAAGTATCTTCAATTTATTTTAGCTAAAGGCTCTTATGTAGTTAGCCAATATTTATCGGGCCATTAAAAGTAGAAATTGGTTAAATATTTCAACCCAAATTAAGTTTTCAGGATTGTTCTGTGTTAACTGATTGTGAGGTTCAGATGCAGATGCAGATATAAAATGTGTATCACAATTTGGATTTCCACAGTGAACTTCCCCAATGCTATTACTGATAACTCAAAAACCCATTAGAAAACCAAGTTAAAACCTGCGTAAGGTGGCCTTTGAAATTACAACCCATGCAGCTTTAGTAAAACTGTCATGAGGTCTAAAGGTTCTTAGTCTTTTCAATTTTTTAGTGTTTAAAGATTGAAACGAAAGCTCCCATTCTTTGCCTTTAAAGGGAAACACAGGTGTATTATTTAAGAAAGCCAATGTTCCACAAATCTATACAAAATACTATATTTGTTGTTTTGTTTCACAAAATTTAAAGAAATTAAAACTGTTCAGTGTCATGAGATAACATCCCAAAACTTTTGTAGCAGAAGTGGAGAATTGGAAGTTTGCAGTTTAGCTCTCTGATCTTTATCTAGCTTCCCTGCAGAAACAATCACTGTCCTCTCAACTAGTTTGGAGCGGCAGATTTTGAATTAGATCTGTTCCTTTGAAGGGATTAATGTTCCCAGTCCTCTCCCACGGCTTTACACACAGTCATGAGGAGGGGGGGATCCTGCTGGGTTTCACTGGAATTTGGTAAAACTACAATGCAAGTTGCAGAAGACATAGAAAAAAGGAAGATTAACATTGTTTACATCAAGCTATGGCATATCTAGTTTAACATGTATTGAAAAAAAAGATGCAATGAAGTCCCAGCATTGCCTCAATTGCATTCAATCTATCATTTGCAAACTTTTACAGTAGGTCTATGCAAGCAAAAAAAAAAAAAAAAAAAAAAAAAAAAATTTGGGGGAAGCCCCTCTACAGTTATGGCTTGCTTAGTGTTTAGGACATAGTTGTACGAATCTATTTATTAGTGATTTATGTTATGGATAAATCCAAAGTTATTATTAACTGTAAATAAGATTGTTTATTCTCAACCATTATTTATGCTTATTCCTGTTTGAATGCGCAATGCTTTGGTTTTATCATAATTTTTAAATGCATTTGTAAATTATCATAAGATATGAGGCTAAAGTCTTAAGCATGTCTTAATTTTTTGGTTTGAAAATAAACATGGACAACAATCAGATTTGAACGGGTTAAAGTATTGAAGATGACCACAAACAGAAAAGGATGAACCCTGTGAGGTGGGAATTTGTAAGTTTATACATAAGCCTTTTAATTTTGGAAATGAAATAACACAGTGCAGTATGTGAAGATACAATTTCTTTTACAGTGTGAATGATGTGGTTTATGTTTAAGTCAAAGTCTGAAAAAAAGCCACAATTTTAATTAATTCTGCCAGATCAGCTCATTCTTGCAGTGTTTGTCATCAACTCAAATAAAAAAACAAAAAATAAATTTTCTTTTTCTCACAAATTCTTCATCTGTTCCAAAAAATAGAATTTTTGATAGGAAAAAATCATGATTTTAATTCCTTCTATTAAGCAGAACTCAATACCTGGTGTTATGTAATGGTTGTGCAGTCTTTGGCGTTGGCTTGACATCAGTGTCTTAGCCGTCTGAATAGACAGGTGTGGAAATGTCAAACCTGAAGAAACTATAGAAGCTCAACACCTTTTCTGAGTTCCACTGATCTCATTACTGTTTTACAATGAAAAGTAATACACTAATATACAAGTCCTCATATTCATCAAAGGTTGTCAGTAGAAAGAGACAGAGATACTGAGGTCAAAACATTTTTCCATCTTTGAAATTTCTACATGCACAGCAACTCGTCAGTTTTTTTTTTGTTTTTTTTTGCTTGGAGGTTTAAATGTCAGATAAATGTCTCATGTAGTAATCTGCTCTTTCATGTCAAACCAACTGTTAAAGCAGAGAGGGAACCCACTGAAAAGAAAAAAACAAACAAAACAGTTTTTGTTTGTTATCCATAAAATTGTACATGCAAATTCTTAATTCAGGACCCATTCCCTTTTATATCAGCTGTAAATGCAAGCAGATGGGACATGGGAGAAAACTTTTATTTGTAGGTGACAATTAGTTTATTTCTGTGAGCCATCAGCATTAATAAATATTACTTTCCTTTTAGATGTTTGGTTTACCCCTGTACATACTCTGCAAGATGTGCATGCAGCACTAAAGGAGTCTAACTGGCTAGATTTATTTGGCTGAGCAGGACTTTAATAAAAAAACAGTCCGAAATATGCTGATATACTGTATGCTTGATATGTTGAATTTACTTCATCTTTTATCATGAAGGGGCTAGGCTGGAGTATTTCTCTTTAGTTTTTTTCATGCCTTTGTCAATCTTCTTCTGCTGCATTAAACAATATCATGAACATTAAGAACTTCCCCCAGCTGTAGCATGGGCTCTCAAATATTCCTTTTCCAATGCCAGAACTCTCCTTCTCAACTAGTTTGGATCAGGTGTCCTCAAGTTTTTCGTGTTTTGTTCAGAGCCGACACCCATTTCCATCAGTCTTATGAACCCACCATGCACTACAAACAATGGGCATAACACAACACAGAGATGCACAGTTGGTCAAGTTAATGCAAGAAGAGAACATCAAGAAAACTACAACTGAAATGGCACAAGAAACTGTGACTCCTTGCAAGAACAACAGATCTGTCAGAGAGGGCTGGAACAGACAATACACAGAGGACTGTGAATAATTATGGTGTGGTAAAGATTAAAATAATTATGAAGAGGAAGAACATTTTAAATGAAATCTGAATTATGTCATGCATTTATGTTTAGCTCATTTTAATACCATCACACAAAATGTTATGCAATCTAAATGATTTAAAAACAAAAGAAAATATTAAATAAATTCCTCCGAGTGCGACTTTTATGTATAAACTTAACTTTTCTGTAAAGTTTTGTAAACATTTGTTTTCCGGACAACTAACAGTCATACATAAGTGTCGCCTTTATTAAAGAGTGTCAACTTTATTGTTTTTATAAAGAAAGCTATAAGGCGTTACATTTGCAGGTTGTCAGAAGCTACAGGGGGAAACAGCCAACTCTGCCTGGTTAAAGAGGACAAAATAAAAGCTTTTGCAAAATCCTGTATAGGCAGAAAACTTGCATCATCCACATTGTGAGACATGGTGGAGAAAAGAATCATGCAGTGGGGATGCTATTGCTCAGCATGGAGAGGAGCTAAACTAAGGAGGAACTCAGGAAAAAAGAAGGTCTAAGAGGCTGCAGAAAAGTGGACGCTGAGCAGGAGGTTCCCATCCCAGAGGAGACATATTCAGCCAGAGCTACAGTGGAATGTTTAGTCAGGGGTGCCCATTTTCTTGTCCTTAAGAGCTTCTGTTCTGCAACTTAAAGGTGCATCCCTTCTCCATCACGCCGGAGTCAAATAAATGGTCTCATTACCCCCAGCCCTCTAGAGCTGGAAATCATG